GGACTTTCGTTCCAAATAAGATTACATCACTTTTACACGGACCAAATAATGACATAGTCTCTCATGCATCAGTGTTTTATTACGGTACTCCTTCTACCCTACTGTCATCTCTTTTGGTCTGTTAGGGGTTGATTTTTAAGTTGATGATTTGTGGCCTCACCATGAACAACTATGCCTACTCAATTCTCTTATCTGTGCTGCTGAACAGTATATTATCGCTGACACTGGAAAATCGCAAACAAATTTTGTTTTGTTAGCACCCACTACACATTGACCTATCTGCACGTACACCCGATTCTTCCCCCCAATGTGACCTTTAACTTATCCCATCTCGCATATTCGCGCACAGAAACTTCTTGATACCCTGGTTTGTCCGGATTCTGGTTGATGAAGTGACAATGCTTTCTGTACTCTGCATTTCCTTCTGATCCGAATTTTCTTAGGTATCATTTATTCTCCTTTTCTTACCTGTGTTCTTTGTTGTTGAAAGCTTATACCACTAGTGAAAGCTTGACTACAAATAAAATACGGATACTAGGCGGTCGAGGTCGAGAATGGATACATGTGAACGGAGTTCCAGATATTCGGGTGTGCTGCGCATGTCTGGGGATAGGTACCCTCAGAGGTTAGTAGATTGGACGTAAGCATAACAAGCCCGTGACTGGATGCTATGTGCTTTCGTTATCAAGCCATTCTACGTTTATACCTCGTTCTTTGCCTCCAGCGAAAATGGGAGGCGAATCTTCTCGCGATTCAATGTCCTATCGGCTGGTAAGAGGCACGGGACAGTCAGTTATTTCGTCAGTACCGTGTATTCACGTTTGTTCTTCTGCCGAGGGTCGAACAGTAAACCTCTAGGTTCGAATTAGGGTCACAACGATTTCACACTGTTGTCCATTCCCAGTAAGGATGAAATACGTACGCTGTGCTTTTTGTGAACGAGTAGAAACAACGTATTTCAGATTTCGTGAACATGTTCACGACGTGTGAAACCCATACACCGACGTACAAGAATGATCAAGACAGACTACAATACCTACACATTTTCGTGAAAGAAACTGACGCTAGTATGCCATAGTGAACGAAATACCTGTGCATGAGGTATATCAATTTGCTCTGTTTACATGTTTTTCTGTCAAGTCTGATTGGGAGAACCAACATCTGAAACTCATCCCTCAGCTAATTGCTTTACCTAATCACAGAGGTTCATTCATACGATGACGTCACTTCTTAAATGCCATAGATTACTTTCTCATCTTTTTTGTTTTGTAGCTTATAAGGGAGTTGGTTCACACACTGCAAACGACCGCCTCCACCGAGTTGCAAACGGAAACCGCATTGACATTGCAACTGCTAGCCAAAACCAATTCCGGCGCTTTGTTACTCTACGAGGAGATCAGTATCCCTGTTTTGGTCAAAATGCTGCGGTACGTCTGATAACCGGGGCTGTTGTCTTTCTTTCTTTCTCTCTCACCTCTCCTTGTTGGAGAGCGACTGTTCAAATTCGAGTTTTTCTGCACGTTTTTGGTCTATTAGTCAGTCAGTGACTGCCTTCTGATTTGGGCCCTATTTTCAGTGGTTGCTTGACGGTATGTTCATTCGCGAAATGGTTTCAGTCGTTGGCGTTCTGGTTTCTGCAATGCAAGCGAAGGAACTACCGCATTATAGGGAATTACTGTGGCCTCAAAACTCATACGTTTTTGGAGGGTGGTATTGTCGTTACCAGTGATCTCCACTCTTGTNTCGTGTTCTTTTTTTCTTATTCTGCTCGTCACACCGCAAAGGGTTTATGACACGTTTGTACGAAGAACAGTAGGAGTCCCGACATTCGAACATTCAGTCATGGGAGCTATAAGCTTGGAACTGGGAATTAAACTAGAGAACCACACAATGCCCTGAGAGGATAGGTGTGGTGGTGTGAAAGAAGACAGTAAAATTGTCTGTCATCAAAGTTGCTTCGTGGTGGCAGAAGTCTAATCTCTTGTTCGATGTTAGTTTTGTAACTGAAATGTAGACACACTTGCTCACAAAACGTCTGTGACGTCTGTAACGCAGTACTTTATGATACCGGCCTAAACCTCGTTACCACCGCTACCTGGGGGATCCACAATCGGAGTCGAGTTAATCAAAACCTGACAGGCAAGGTGGCGGGTCGTTGCATGAAAATGACGATCCATTGGGGGTCGATATCTTGTTTGTCAGATCATACACCTAAACAGGGTCAAACATCCAAGGTACAATCAAATTGGTGTCCACTGCCGGAATCAGGAATGTTGTGAGTGGCGCATACACCTTAGTTGGCTTGAAAACACCCCGACTCCATGGATGTAGCAAGTAGGACTTCCTCAGCATGGGCAATTTAGACACTCGAAAGGGAAGGATAATTAACCACTCCTCAATACATCTGCTCCTTGATCATGTTCAGGCATTCGGGTGTAATGCCATTCACAGAAGGTGATTTCTGGTGTAATTTTATCAAACCTATTGTAAAATAGCAGTAAACCAGAAGGTAGAGGGTTGTTTCACAGTTGGACAATCGTTTGAAGTAGAACGGGCAATATTCAATAGAATTTTGCAGCCAATTGGCGAAGATCGTAAATCGGCTTACTACAAGCGAATCACGTGCACCGTTTCAACGTATTAAGTTCGGCTTGTTGTGAATCGTCATCAAAAATGGATAAAATTGGACCCTTTCCAACTCCCTCGGGTAATGTAGTTTGGTGTTGCTTGCCCAACTCGGTGATTACACCCCAAATAATTCATTCATCACCAACTGGTACATTGAATATGCTGTTTCGGCTGGTTATGAAACATTCACTATTAAATTGTCAAGCTCGACAAAACAACGGTCGTGGTGGTTCAGTGGTTTAGTTGCTGTCACTGGCGTGCTTCGGACCCAATGGTTTGGGTTTCGAGCCTCGCCAACTTTACCCTACTTTGGTGGTAGGCAGCTTAGCTGCCGTCCGGTTCATTGCCACACCTGACTCAGCGAGACGTGTTTCACCACTCTAAATCCCGTGGCTTACGTTTCCCATCACTGAACAGCAGGTCTTCGCGACCATGGGTGTTACCCCGCCTTTGCTAACTTCAATGATTTTCAAAGCCGATCATAACAAACCATCTAAACAAATCAGTGCCCAATAAAGGCACATTTACTTGGTGCGCAGTCTGTTTATGTCGACGACTTACTTAATTGTTTGATTCCAATTTTGTGTTTCGTTTTATTTCTTTTCGTTCATTATCTCGTGCACCTCTCTTCCATCTCACCTCTCATACAGACACCCGTTGGATGTCATTTACACGACCGCCTTGTACATTCTGAATCAGCTTATGTGGCATTTGCCCGATTCCAGTCGTTCCGAGGTTCGGGCATGTGATGGTCATCTGCATCTGACTGAGTTGTTACACGATGATCGGCTGACAGATCCGGACTGGCTAGTTATTTGTGTGGATGCGATCCGGATGACAGCGTACAAAAGTAATGAGACCAAGGTATGTCTTTTAGACAGGCGGTTGCCGTCCTGGTGAGCAAGTTAGAGCTGTTTTGCTGTTGTTATTCTTCTGTCCATCTCTGCATCGCTTTAGCAGCCCATGTTCAGTTTAACCCTTCAGACGAATACGGTTTACGTTTGAGACTGGTTTTCGACTTGTTGAGAGTGACACCAGCCACACGTTCATCGTTCGTCATTGACTATTTTGGAATTAACGGTCAAATGAGGACAAGAAGGCACTGAAAAATGTCCGTTAAAATAGCAACCGAACAACTCGTAGGTAAAATCAACCCCACACGTCCAACTTATGGAGCATCATTTAAGGCTAGTGCCATGAATTATCAAGCTAGATCGTTGACTTCTCTTCTCTGTTGTTACAGAATACACTTTTGTTGCACCCATTGTGTCAAACAGTAGAGTGAGTAAACCGCGTGGTTACATGGACGTTCTGTCGATTCATGATAACCCGGAAACTTAAGCCATGGACTCGCATTGTTGAATCACGTCAGGTTTCACTGAAATAGATGAATATTAGCGAAGTTGCTACTGTACAGAACTCTCTTCCATCCTATGCCTTTTGTTCTCCGTTTTTTCGTTCTATTTACGGCTGGGAGAAGTATTAGAGCACCTTATTTCTCGAATCTTTGTAATACCATGACTTTTTTCACCTTATTTATACAACCATAGGAAACAAATAGGTTTGAATCTCACGGTTTGTCTTAATCATTGTTTTTGTTAGCTTTTACCCTCTACGATTGTGATGTTTGTCTAAGGCCATTCGATATTTACTGGCACTAGAGGGTAAACGCAAACGCTCAGTGCTCGATCGCCACGATCTGCGTTGCACGAACCTGACTGGACAGCCGGATGGGGAGCGCAAATGTTCTAAGACTCACATGTCAGTTACACACTAATGCAGTTAGTTATAAGGTGGTCAGACGTGACCTGTTTAGATCGGGGAACTTCGATAAGGTGGATTGATCATGTAGGTCGTGTTATACTTGCCGGTTTTGATCTTTGGGGTTTGCCGTCTTGATGAACGAAAATGGGGTAAAGCGTCAAAACAATAACACTTGTACATGTGATTTCGAATAACAAAGCTAATTTTGCATGTTTCGTGCTTTTGTCTTGGTAGCGTTTTCTCAGTCTAGTGTCTCACTTTTTGTATGGTCGATTTGGTAGATTGCTCAAATCTAGATCTCTTGAGTACTAATTCAAATACAACATGAAATTCCGTGGATTACACCTCTCTCGTTTTTCCACTCACTTATGATTTCGCCTAGCATTTGACACCTGACTATTCTTTCGATCACTTGATGAGCTTAGCTGCCTAAATTTAACCATATAGGTTACCTCTTTGTTCTGAACAAAAATGAGCATCGTAAATTCAGCTATCGCCTGGTTTTCGCATCAGCTGTATACAGGCAATCAGATCACGTTTGGTTAAACGAATGCTAGTTTTGTGAATAAGTGAATATACACAAGTATGAGAAGTCAATACAGAGTCTGAAGGTCACGAAAACCGAACCGGATTGGACACTCTATCAGGGATCACAATCATTGCGGTGAGGAGGGCGGAATAGTCACTCGGTTACCATGGCAGCGTGAGCTTACCCACGAAATCGGTCTGGTTTGTAAGGTTGAATAGTGACTGCCAAAATAAACCTTTTTAAATTACTGTTCAGGTAAATTTCGACACGGAAGGAAAGCGTGGGAGGAGGACGAGCAACTGAAGCCAATGGTAGGCTGACCACAAACGCGACCGCTTTGCAAATAACTCCTAACTGTATCGAAGTGTACGCTTCTGTGATCGGTCTAAAAATCAAACTTAACTAAACCAGATGGAACGTCTTCTAGACATAAATGATGGCCACTGCCTCAACTTGGAGTACCCCGGATCCGGCATCCTGCCGAGCAGATATACACGGACGACGCCTAGCGGCACATTGATATTGACCGCACGATGTTTCACTTCAGTTTTTTTACAACCATTAACCATGCATTTTCCTGCGCCGGTTTTGGTTGCTACCTTTTGGCTACCTACTTGGATAAAAGAACAGAATGGAGATTGAAACAATGAAAGCAAAGTCAAGGAGAAGATAGAGAATTCATGTAGACTGGAGTAGAACGCATAATGAGTAGCTGCACGAGCTCCACCGTTTGCGACCTATGTTTGCATTTCCGTATCCACCACTTCTCGCGGTCATTTCTCAGGCTCTTGATGAGCTGGTGTTTTATGGGTTTGCGCGCTTTGTCGTATTTTGCATCAGAAGGAAGGATAAAACGGATATGCATCGACTCTTCGTTCTATAGCTTTCCAAATACGTACCTAGGGCTCTGGGGTACGACACAATTCGCGGTAGCCCACACCGACGAAGGGGTTTTTCTTTTGGACCCCTACCCGGAGCCTTTGACCTAAAATTCTAACCTACAATGCAGTGGGGCGTAGATCCAACGTGAGAGTTTAACCGATGCACCCGTGTGGTAGCCAGTTGAGACCTGTTACGCAAGATCGTTGGTGAGTTGGTTGTCGGTCCGTTTTTCGGGATCGGCCCTTAGTTTCATGCTCCGAATGATACTGGCGGAACATGTACGGGATGGTACTTTATTGGTTGGCTGTCTGCCGAGCTTGGGCGGGTGGTAGCTGTCTAATGAAATGCGAAGACTTCTCCTAAGGTCAGGTCAAAGCCCCAGATGCCTCGCTCGTACGTCCATCTAGCGGGAGTTTCCGACTGGTAATCTTTTCCTTTCCGTGATTATTCGCTGGAGTGACCTCTCCAGGACGAGAGCGGATAGACAGAAGGCACCCAAACAGCTGGCCTTGTGAGACTGAGCTTCTTCAGGCCACTATCCATTGACCTTCAGACATCATAGGATCTGCGGCTGTAAGGAGCTATCCTGTATAGCTCGCACGGTCATGGAGACGCGCAAGCCACCACACTACGTCAAGGTGCGGTCTTGTCGTGATGGGAACGACTGTTCTACAACTCCGAATTACTGTCTGTCGTCGGAGCCACACCCGTTTCTAAACCAGGCGTTTTCTTTGTTGCACACATAGACCAACATGGCCTTCAGATAGTTTACAACACTCGTCGGCGGAAAAGGAACTGGTTCAGCATTGGTAAGGACCTTGCGGCCAACCACCAGGTATTGAACGTCGATGATGAGAGACATTCACAAAGCCTACCTATCATCTTCAAACAAGCAGCCATAATGATTTCACTGTCACTCTCGAAATCGAATTTACCCTGGGTTTATTTACACAATGGAAGAGATTACCACGAAGTAATAGAATTCAGCACATCCTGTAATCTTGGTACTTCTCTCCCTCATTACAGTACTAATACTATGCCTAAATCTATTTGGCCCTGTTTGATTCACACATGTAAGTTTCAATTTTAAGTTTCCGATCCTTAAGAACAAACGATGGGTGTTCTGGACTACGGGATCTATCCGTTTCGCTCTTAGTAAGGTACACACTGGACCACATATGCTTTTATTCCTTATTTCTCCCGTTTCTCTATCTTCTTCCCTTCCGTCGCCATGTAGCTGGCTTTGCTGCGTAGCAATCTGCATCCGGATTTGGTTCGTCTGTTACGAACTTATTCGAACAATGCGAAAGTCGCCTACAACATTGCACGTCTGATCAAAGTACTCGGGACATGTAATCGGAACAAGGCTCGTTTGGTGGAATGTGGTGCCGTTGAGGTAAGGTGCCGCATTCACCCCCCGCCCCATTGTGTTCCCTAGGGTTGTTAACTAATACTCATCCGCCAACTTTCAAAACGCAAACCAGTTTTTTTTTACTTTCGCTCTTATCCAGCTTTCGATTTACGCAATCAGCCATCTTGCGCTTTTGTGCACCGGTTTTGTTGGTGCTTTTTGGCTACCTGTTTCGTCGAACAATGAATAATGGTGAAGAAATATACGGTAAAAGTCGAGAGCTTATAGCCGTACCCAGACAGGAATGCAGAATGCAAATTACACGAATGAGTGCAGCACTAGAGTAGCTGTACAAGCATCACTGTTTTCTACCCTCGGCCATTTCCACTAGTCTATAATCATTGATTCGACTGATGCTGAAGTGACCCAACCGCAAAGCCTAAACGCGACCTCCACAAGCAAATGTCCTGGTCCTGACTTTATGTAGACTAATGCGAATGGTGAGATCAGAGTCTACGTGATCAGCAACCCATAACGCCTAATCAATCTCCAGTATCATGCTACTGTGCTAAATGACGCATTCAGGATCCTGTAAAACACAAAACAAACAAAATATTATGTTTACATTGCGAAGGGTCAGTTTAGCCTTGGTGGGATTCAAACCCTCTTATGGACACTACCCACACTTTTGTACAGCCTGACCAACCTCTGCTGAGGAAGCCCTACTCACTGCCTTCTCGCGGCGGAGGT